GAACTCAAGCGCCGGTCATGGTGATGGTGTGGGCCGCCATAACAGCCGATGGTCGCTCTCTGCTCGTATTAATCGGCGGTGGCATCAGAATAAATGCCGAATATTGTGAAAATATTCTGGAGGGTGTATTAAAGCCTTGGGCACGCAAACATTTTGGCCGCAGACCTTGGACATTCCAACAGGACAGAAGCACCATCGCACTCAGCGCGCGCCACCCAAGAATGGTTACAAAATGATGTTCCTTGCTTCATTTCCAGTGCACAATGGCCACCAAAATCTCCGGATACCAATCCGTTGGACTATTGTGTCCAAGCTAGCGCTTCGCCGGGAATGGGCCAAAATACCACAGGGCAACATTCGGGCAGCCTGTGACGGTTTAATTTGCCGTTTGAAGGCCATAATTCGTGCAAAAGATGACCAATTCGAACAAATCTAAACTTATTGTAAAATTTGATGCTATTTCCGAAATTTTTTGCTTTAATTCAATAAAATTTAAAAAAAATGTAATAATAATGACGTTTGACTTTGTTGCGGTTTTTTTATCTCACCCTGTACACTGTTATTTACAAAGATATTTCCTAAATACTGAGAACACAAACAAAGTCAAAACTATGACCTTAAGCCAAATTTGGACCCATTTGGTCCATTTCCAATACCAATCAATTTGAACAACCCACTTCATTTCGTTCGGAAGCTAGAGTGATTTTTACAGGCGGACTTGAATGGCTAAATTTTGAGGTGTTGTAAACGGACTGGAAAACGTAATATACTTTTCATACTTTGCTGGAGGATATAAAAACAACTAAGACATTCCTCAGCCCAGAGATTTACAAACTTCAAAGCCTTGGAATAAATTTATGAATGTTCATGAAAAAGTTATCTGCTTAAAGTCTAACAATCTTCTTCATATCCTTGAATATTCATTTTTCAACACATGTCACCCCGCTGAACATTATCCCTGGCAACATTTTGCGAAATCAATTCTTCAAAATCAATATCACATATGCGAATTTAGTTATCTTATCAAACGTTTTTTTAGAATCAAGCATTTCCATACTCAAATATATTTCTTAAACATCTTATTTACACTAACTGCATGTGTAAATGCAGCATCATATTGAATTAAATCTCCTTTTTATATTCGGACATTATCCTATTTTTATATTCCGTTCTTAGGAAAGCAAAACAATTTAAGCGGATTGTTATACGATCGGATTTATATTTTCTTTTTGAGAAAAATTTCCTTCCACAAAATATTTCGCATTTTAAGAAAAACATCTGTTGAGAGCTGCAACTACTCGTCCTGCTGACCATTTGCTTCTGCCACCATTTTCTAGTATGTCCATTTCGCAATTCCAAAAGAGAATTGTTGTTTATAACATCCATACAATGAATGTATTAGTGTCAGTGTTGACGTCTGTTACGTTGTTGGTGTTCTTCTCCTTATTTTGTTTACCATTGTAGTCCATTGCATTTTTCGCTCGCTTCGCTTTCGCCATCAGGAGATTTATATGATTTTATCTGCTGTCAGTGGAGGAACTTTATTAAAGGAAAATGCGAATAAAAATATTTCATGGTGTCCATGAAAAATGTGTTGTGATGCTGCCGTTAGCTGTCACTGCTCTACCGACCAGCTAGTGTTGTTGACTTATAAACACCCAGCCAAATTGCAATGGCGGAGCAAATGCTAAGCTTGGCAAAATCATGAAGCGAATTGAATAAAGGAGAGCAGCGAAAGAAAAGCAAAAGAAATATCCATAAATAATCTTGGCGCATTTAAATGTGATTTTCTGTTTTTATACCCTTTACCATACTATGGAGGGTATATAAACTTTGTCATTCTGTTTGTAACTCCTCGAAACTCCTGTCTGTTGTAATCACGCTATCTTTCAAACGAATTGAGATAGAAGGCTAAAATTTTGCACACATGTTTATTTTTCCAGTAGGCAGGTTAAGTTCGTAATTGGGCCATGTAGGTCCACGTTTTCATATAGCCCCCATATAACGGTACGTCCCTATATTCGGTATTTCGATGATTTTAGCGACATTATTAACCGGAATTATTTCAAATTTGGTATTTGAAGTTCGTAATGGATACTACAGCCTATGACAGAAAATTGTCTGTGCAGGTCCACGTCTTCGTATAGCCCCCATATAACGGTACCTCCCAATATTCGGTATTTTGATGATTTTAGCGTCATTATTCACCGGAATTGTAATGGGAACTACAGTCTGTGACAGAAAATTGTCTATTCAAGTCCAAGTTTTCATATAGGCCTCATATATCAGTTCCTCCCTATATTCGGAATTTTGACGAGTTTAGGTACAATACCCACCGAAATTGTTTAAGATGTCGTATTTGAAGATCGTAATGGATGCTACAGCCTATGACAGGAAACTGTCTATGCTGGTCCAGGTCTTCGTATAGCTCCAATATAACGGTACCTCCCTATATACGATATTTTGATGATTTTAGCTACATTATTCACCGTTTATTTCAAGTTTCGAATTTGAATATGGTAATGGCTTATGACAAACAATGCCTATGTAGGTCCACGTCGTATAAATCCCAACATAACGGCTATATTCGGTATTTTTAAAATTTTTAAGGATTTTCTTTTTTGAAAATTTCCAAAATCGTTCCAAATGGTGGAGGGTATTCAAAGTTGTGCCCGGCCGAACATACTGCCTTTTAACTTGTTTTTTGTTCGCTTGGCTGTTTATGGCCTTATCGCGATATGGTGAATGGTAAACACCATATCGCGATAAGGCCATAAACAAGTTAACCCAAAACCACCAGCTAACATCACCGACAACAACACCACAACCAGCAACGACGGACTAGCAAATTTTCACAATCAACAATAAATAAATTGGGTTATTATTTATTGTCAGAGGACTTCTTCTTTATCCTTGGGTTCCTCTTCGTTTTTTCTTATTCTTGTTATTTTATTTAGATTAAGTCACGTGGCATGAAAAGGACAAACATTATTTTCGCGTTTGAAATAAAACTATAAATTCTTAGGAAAGTGATATTTTTATTGTTGGTGTCAGGGATGTTTATTAAATTGAAAACAAAAACATGCTGAAGGATGTTTCAATAAAAAATATTTTTTTATCAATAAATGGCAATTTTGCTTCTTTAGGGACATATTCCTGTATATTTAAAATTCCTGATCTTGAAAAAATGAGATTATTAAGAAATTTTTTCTAAAAATATCTTAAAATGATTGATAATTTTTATGCTCTCCATCATACCATGGAGGGTATATTAACATTGCCATTACGTTTGTAACTCCTCGAAATACTTATGTCAGAGCCAACAAAGTTTATATATCCTTGATCAGCGTAAAATTCTAGGCCGAATTAGCGATGTCCGTCTGTCTGTAATCTATAATTACACTATCTTCCGAACTACAGGGTGAGATGAAAAAACGGCAACCAACTTCAGACTGTTGTCATTTCTAAGCAACTCGTGCGACAGCTATTAAAATTATTCCATTGACAGCTCATTATATTGTTTACAAGCGCACAAAAGCATTTTGGTGAGAATTTTCCAGAAAAAGAAGTTATTCGTGATGGAATTCAAGCGTGATAGTGCGATTTCTTTATATTTGGCTGGATAACCACAAGTGGCTTTGGTTAGAGCACTCCAGCATTTAAATGTAAATAAATCTTTTGTGTCTCGTACCATCACTCGTTACCGTGATAGTGGTAGCGTAGCCCGACGTCAAGGAAGTGGATGGAAGAAAACGCAACATCAGCAGAAATGGTTCGAAAAGTATAGAAGCGAAAAATGGCTCGTGAGCTGAACATATCGTAATATTCCATTCGGCAAACATTGAAAAATTAGCTCGGGGTAAGAAAACAGCAACATCAGCAGAAATGTTTCGAAAGGTAAAGAAGCGACTTGATCGAAACCAGCGTCGCAGTGGCCGAAAAATGGTTCGTGAGCTGAACATATCGCAATATTTCATTCGGCAAATATTGAAAAATGAGCTCGGGGTAAAGTCATTGAAATTCCAATAAGTGTAAGAACTTACACCGCAGCAGAAAGGAAAGAAACTCAAAAGAGCTAAAGAGTTGCATCGCTTGGCCGAAAGTGGTGAACTGCCGGATTTGGTTTTCTCCTATGAGAGAACATTCGTTCTCCAGCAGTTTGTAAAACAACAAAATTATCGTGTTTACTTGCCAAAGAGGTCAGCTGAAAATGTGCACCTTCGGTTGGCCATCAGAACTCAAGCGCCGGCCATGTTGATGGTGTGGGCCGCCATAACAGCCAATGGTTGCTCTCCGCTCGTATTAATCGACCGTGGCATCATAATAAATGTCGAATATTATCGCGAAAATATTCTGGAGGGTGTATTAAAGCCTTGGGCACGCAAATATTTTGGCCGCAGACCTTGGACATTCCAACAGGACTCAGCACCATCGGACTCAACAAGCGCCACCCTCGCTTCATTTCCAGCGCACAATGACCACCAAAATCTCCGGATACCAATCCATTGGACTATTTTTTCTGGGGTATTTTGGAAAGCAAGGTTGGCACTAAAAAATACCAAAGTTTCGATCACCTCGAGCAAGCTCTTCGCCGGGAATGGGCCAAAATACCACAGAGCAACATTCGGGCAGCGTATGACGGTTTCATTGGCCGTTGGAAGGCCATAATCCATAAAAATCTAATCTTATTCTAAAATTTGATGCTATTTCCGACATTTTTTGCTTTCATTCAATAAAATTAAAAAAAAAATGTAAAAATTATGGCGTTTGACTTTGTTGCAGTTTTTTATCTCACCCTGTATGTAAAAGAGGTACGAAGTGGAAAATTTAGATTATACTCTTCTGAACGGTTTTTCATAGTCTAAATCTGTATAATCATTGGTTGAGGGCATTCATATATGATTTTTAATTGTTCCTTTTTAATCACTATATTTATTGCGTTTCAATAATTTTAATCAGTGTAACATTAAGTGAAATTATTCTCCTTTTTTTCTTTGCAGAGTCTCGGGTTCCCATTGGCCTCATTGGTGGCAACAAATCGTACTGCAGCAGAATTGCGATACCTTTTAGGTTCCCCATGTCCCGAGGATAAAAATACTCTCATGTCGTCAAAAATTGAATTCAACTGTGAAATGAGAGCTGGTCGAGTAAGTATCTTGTTTTTTTCAGGATATAATAGGATATCTTAAAATATAATAGGATATCTTAAAAATTTGAAGCCATGAATTATTCTAAACAAATATGTATCGACATTTTTTAACGGACATTTTAAAATATCTTGTTTGAAATACTTTACATTCTCCATCTCCAAGAAAATTAAAAGAAATTATTTGACAAGAATTACGAAGGACAATTGAAATGAGGAAATGAGAATTTAGACTAAGTCAACAATATAATATATCTTATCATCTAATATAATTGAAATTTCTTATCCATAGACTAGCTGAAATGCTACATTATATTTGACTAAGTTATGTAAACTGGGGCCTGGGACTAGAATTCGAAAAAAATTACTTTGGAAAATGTGACGAATTCGATAATATTGGTTTTGTTAAAAAGTAAGTTGATTTCCAATACCAAACATTTTAAAGGGCTCGAGTAAAGGGTAGTATGCCCGATAATACTCGGGTTAAAATTGTCAGTCCAATAGCGAGACAATGTTCAGGTGACAGAGGTGCCTGGCATGTAAGGGAAAACACTACAACCAAATCAATATTTTTTCTAAATTACAGAAACTCCGAGATTATGAAAGTAGAGCTAAAAATATTAGGCACGTCTATCGGGGATAAGAAAGTTCAGTCGATTTAGATTGGAACGCATATCCAACTGTGAATCGGTTTCCGCTATATTAGACCGAGGTCTTTGTGAATGAACATAATTTCACCAATATCGTGAAATCGGATGATGATATATATTGGAGCTATATCCAAATCTGAATCGATCTCGATAAAATTTGGCAGATGTATTTTTGACCACTATAAGATATCTGGCACCAAATATCATTGTGCATATTAGAAATGTGAGGGGCTTAAAGACCAAATCGGATAAATCATTTATATGCTAGCTATAGCTATATCTGAAACGATTTTCACCAAATTGGATATACTTGCTTCAAGGCTGAATTCGGTCGGATGTGCCGAAATGTGATGTATCCTATTTGGACGAATACTACATATTTGGTGCACAATAATATTGAAATCGGACGAAGATAAATATATGGAAGCTATATCCCAATCTGAGCCGAACTCGATAAGATTTGGCAAAGGTATTTCTGTGCTATACGAAACATTTGGTACCAAATATCATTGTTTTAGATTGCATATCACGAATGTGAGAGATTTAAACGCCAAATAGGATGAAACATATGTATAGGATATAAAGCTATATCTGAACCGATTTTCACCAAATTTGAAATACATGCTTCTAGGCAGAAATTGATCGGAAGTGCCAAAATTCACTCTTTTTAAACTGATATTAATCATCTGGTGCACAATTAACGTAAAATCGGCGCTATATCTAAATATCAATAGGGTTCGTCCTTGGACCAAACAAATGTTGCTTGGAAAATGTCATCTCAATCGGATAGTAAATGCGACCTGCATTTTCTTCAAATACATGGTCAGACGGACGCACAGACAGACAGACAGACGGACTGACATGCATAAATCGACTCAAAAAGTCTGACTCAAAAATCCTCAAAAGTAGCTATGTTACAAACAAATGCACAAAGATATAATACCCAGACAACTATGTGGTGTAGGGTATAATTAATTTTTTTTTAGCAAAACCGATTTTAAAATATGTTCAATCATTAATAATATCATTAATTCTTTTTTTATTCCTTTGCTATAATCATTTTTGATAACATCGAAAGAACTTTAATTACAAATTAAGTGAACTTAAGCAGAGGGGCGATTTTCGTTCTTCGTTCGTTCCGCAGAGCCTCCTCATCTTCCCTCTGACCTGCCCCAACCAATGACATTGTGTTGCAGCAATTGCATTTCACCCCACTTGAAAGAAATTATTTTTCCTCAATTAAATTTAGCGATGGCTGGTTTTGTGTTGTTGCTGCTTGTGTTTTTTTTTCTCTGCTCATCATTTCAACTTTTATAAGGAGAATACGCCACAATATGCGGCAAGTTGCCAGATGGGGCCGTTAGGGAAACCACCAGACAGTTCCATAATGGTTTCATAATTGCGGATATAAGCGTAATTTTCACTGTACTAATTGCTAGGTAATGTCGTACAACTGGTGGTTCATGGAGGCCAGACCGCCAGCATGGTCAGGACATGATGTGGCGGAATGACAATGTCATTTGTGGTAGGGAGGGTGGTGGTGAGAAGGGTTGCGAAGGGTAGGGATGGCCGTAATGGTGATGTTTTGCGGTGCTGTTGCTGATGGGTGAGCCGATAACGGTTCTGATCGAATAATGACAACTGCAGTCCATTGGACACAATGATCATTATTAATATTCGATTTGTTCCAATGGTGATGATATGATGGTAACGGTGGTATGGTGGCCAGTTATTGTCCATCGTGTCGATTTGTTTCTTGATACGGTTCGTTTGATTGTCCGACCATACATGCATGTATTGCAAGGGCATTCCTACATGTGGAGTTTCGCGTAAAGCACCCATAATTCCATTTAGGGACTGCGGTTTTTCTCTCCGTCCCGCCTCTTCCCAGAGGAATCATACTCCACTCTCCATGGAGACGGACAAACGAACGACCATCAACAATCAGTTGTTATGGACTTGTGGTCTCTGTGTAAACAACACATCTTCTCCTCTTGTGTTTTGTCATGCATGTGTATGTGTGTGTGAGAGAGAGTTTTTTGCATTTCGCCAACCCTCCTCCTTGTTTTGTGTTTTCAAACAAATATTGAAATGGACGTAGGTTGGAAGAAATCTGAGTCGGGGTGGTGAGGTGGTGGGTAGTTGATGACATTTGTAGGGAATATTGTCGCGGCATACAACAATGCCGACCGACAAGTAAACATTTCACTGTTGTTGACACTTTGTCTGCAATTTGTGTTTCAACTGCATTGTCGCCCTGCCTGCGCTTCCACTCGCATTCCTATTTTCAGGATTTGTCGTCTACCGCCAGAACACAATGTCTGGGTGTTGTCCATTTGCAAATACCAGCCACCAACCGCCTCAACGGATGGGATGGCGGGGGAGATTTCGCGCAATTGCGATGGGTGTAAAGGAATGTCCTCATGATCGGGTGGAAAATTATTATTGGTATGATGTGAATTATTGCTTTCGTTAACAATCGCTCACAGGTATGAAATTGACGAATTCTCGCATTATTAAGAGATGTTTTATGTGTGATAAAAAATTTAAAATTTAATGGTATCTACCACCTTTATAAGAGATCTTGTGTTGATGGAAATATTGAGATGTTCCAAGTCTGAATGGAATCAGATGTTAATTTCGTGTATTATGAGCTTCATGAATATTCGAAATGTTGACCCTTTGTTGGGGAGATACTAGATGGATAAGCCCGATATATTCCATCTCCACAACAGATCTTTTGTTAGTAGAAATGATGGAATATAAAGAGAACCTGATGCTTATAACGGATTTTATAAAAGTTTTGGTTAATCAAAACTTTGAGCTTTTGTGGAGGAGGTATCAGAAGGAATGGTTCGATCTCTACCGCCTTTTTGATAGATCCTGTGTCGATAGAAATATTCAGATGTGCCAAGTCTAAATGGAATCGGATGTTTATTTCGCGTTTTATGAGCTTTACCAGATGGAGTGGTCCGATATATTTCATCTTCCCACCAGACCTTTCGTTCATAAAAATTATTTGGATGTGTGAAATTTTAAGGCAATAGGATTCTTACATCACATTTTATAAGACTTGTAATAATTCAAGATTTGGACCATTTGTGTGCGAGGTACCAGAAGGAGTGGGCCGATATATTCCATCTTAACACCAGACCGTGGGTTAATAAAACTATTGAGATGTGTGAAATGAAGATAATCGGACTATTACATCACATTTGATAAGGGTTGAAATTATTCAAAATTTTGAACCTTTGTACTTGATAGAGTGGACCGATATTGCCCATTTTCGAACCTAACATTGACTCAAATATTTAGACCAACATCGGGTTATCCTTTCTCTTTCTGTCCAAAAAAAATGCGACCTTTTGTGGAGGAGGTACCAGAAGGAGTGGACCAATATTGCCCATCTTCGATCTAACTCGATCTAAGTTTGACAAAAATATTACGATGTACGATGTTTGGACCAAATCGGATACTCCATTTGTGAGTTATCGTGCGCCCCAGCCAGCCATCCAGACAGACGGACGGACATCGCTAGATCGACTCCAAATGTATTGAAACGGATTTGGTCCAAAGAGACCTAAGGTCTAAAACCGTTATTTCGCAAGTTTTGACCGTATCAAATGATATATACCCTCTGTAACCATATGGCTGAGGGTATAAAAAGATACACGCGTTTCGTTTAGGAAATCCTTGAAAAGAATTCTTAAAATTTCCACATTAGTAGCAGAGGTGTTCTTGAAAAAATCCATCATAGATAATTTACAATCCACGAAATTTTGGCTGAAGGTTGGTGAAAAAATTGTCTTAAAAAATCGATGTTTATGGCTCAGACGGGCCTTGGAACAAATTCCTTACAAAGTCCACAGTTTCCTTTCAGAAGGTCGTTCAACATTGTTTTTTTTAACTTAAAATTTGCAGGTCTCTCTTAAAAAAATACGATTTTCGGACAAGAATCTCCTCGGAAAAAAATCTTTAAAAATGCATGATTCCTTGAAAAACATTTTTAAAAAATTACAAATTCACTATTATTTTAGTCAGAAAGTTCTTGAGAAAAAATCTTAGAAAAATCCAATGTTTTCGGTGAGGCGGACTTTCTTAAGAAATTTTCTATCAGGATATCCTTGAAAATAATGTTCTTAAAATAATATTATTTAAAATGCTTAAAAATCCAAGAGGTCCCTGAAAAAAGCTTAAAATATTTCTTACAGCGGGTCCTAGAAAAGGTGTTCAAAAAAAAAAAAAATAAAATAAATAAATAAATAAATAAATAAATAAATACAGGAGGTCCTAGAAAAGTTGTTAAAAAAAAAAAGAATAATAATAATAAATAAATAAAAAAAAACAAGTA